TTCCCGGGCCGGAGATCAGAGTGAGAGACTCACAAAGGCTGGAGGTGAGGATGAGAGACTCACAAAGGCCGGAGGCGAGGATGGGAGACCTACAAAGATCGGAGGCCAGGATGAGAGACTCACCCAGGCCGGAGGCGAGGATGAGAGACTCGGAAAGACCGGAGGCGAGGATGAGAGACTCACACAGGCCGGAGGCGAGGATGAGAGACTCGGAAAGACCCAGGGCTCTGTAAGTCTACGTCCCCAATTCGCAGCTTCTTTTTTCTGGCCCTCGATTTTCGAAGGAATCTCCGTCCGCTCAGAAAGTAGTACGAATATCAAGCTAACTTTTTACTATAGGAGACCGAGGAGACCGAAGTAAGCATTTCCCTCCTGTACACTTGTTTTTTTTTTTTTCGCAAAAAATCAAGACTGGCTTGAACTTCCTCCTCGCAAATAAGTAAAGTTACAAGACTCTGTGAGCTGACAAGATATCTCTAGGGGCCTGCGAAGATGGGTATGGAGGAGCAGCAACAAGGAGTAGAGGGAGCTGCCCAGACGACCGGTAACCCAGTAAGTCCCCGTCCTCAGTTCGCAGATTCCCTTCTTGGCCCTCGATTTTTCTTTCCGGAGCAAATCCTCGTCTGCTCAGCGAATAATACGAATGTCATGCTTACTTTTTATCACAGGAGGGCGCTGGGGAGAACGCAGAGGAGGCACCGAAAAAGGAAAAGGTAAGCTTTCACCCCCCCCCACACCCCCGGCGACTTTCAACTTTGTTATTCTCTTTGCGAAAAACCACCAAGCATCGGCTCCAACAACTGCCTAGTCGCCAACAAGTACCTCAGCCATGAGAATCTATAAGCTGACGAGATATCTCTAGGAACCCGTCCTTAAGCAAGCACTCTGCCTTTTCTTCAACTGTTAAATACAGCGGACAATCATCTTTATGGAAAGCTTTATAGAAAGGACGAGCAAAGAGGGGTCACCGGCGTCTATTGGTTGCTTCGTGAATGGATGTAAATACAATCGTGCGGATATCTGTATTTAGGCATTCCTTTTTTTTTTTTTTTTTCTTTGGGGTTTTTTTTTTTTTTTTTTTTTTTTTGGG